GTCATCCATCTTTTAGAAAAAAAAAACTTCAATTCAGACATCCAACTATACTTTCAAAGCAATTTAATCCTTCAGCTTTGAGGAAATATCAATTGAGTCATATAACTATAGAATGAGGGTAATTTAGTCCTTTAATTTAATGGAAACATCAATTGGGTCATCCTGCTATAGTGTAAAAGCAATTCAGTCCTTCTGATTTCAGGAAACTACAATTAGGTCATCCAACTTTATTATAAAAGCAATTTAGTCCTTCTATTTTAAAAAGCATCAATTGGTTCATCCAACTATAGTTTAAAAGAAATAAAATCCTTTTGACTTTTAGAAAATATCAAATGGGTCATCCAACTACACTGTAAAAGCAATATCATCCTTTAACTTATCGAAAACTTCAATTGGATCATCCAACTATAGTTTGAAATCAATTTCATCCTTCAACTTTAAGTAAACTTCAACGTAATCATCCAACTATAGTTAAAAGTAATTCAATCCTTCAACTTTTTGGAAAACTAAATTAGGTCATCCAACTACACTTTAAAAGTGATTTCATCCTTCAACTTTATGGAAACTTCTACCGAGTCATCCAACTATAGTTTGAAAGATATTTTTTCCTTCAACTTTTTTGAAACTTCAATTGAGTAATCCAACTATAGTTTAAAAGCAATTTAGTCATTTGACTTTTAGGAAACATTAATTGGGCAATCCAGCTACACTTTAAAAGCAAATTCATCCTTCAACTTTTAGAAAAATTCAATTGGACCATCCAACTATAAGTTAAAAGCAATTATGTCCTCCAATTATAATGAAATATTTTTTTTTTCATAGAACTACTATGAAACGATGATATAGTCCTTCAACTATTTTGAAGTAGCAATTTGTTCATTTAACTATTGTGAACCGCCAATTCTCTCCTCCAACTATAAAGTAATAGCTATTTGGTCATCCAACTACTAGGAAAGAACAATTCAACCTCAATCTACAAGGAAAACATAATTTGATCATCCAACTATTGAGAATCACCAATTATATCCAACCTAAACCTTAATTAATTTAAAGTTTTTAAAAAGAATTAACCTATTTGTATAATTGTTGTTGACAACATTGATGTTGTCAAAATCTAGACCATTGATTTTTAAAAAAATTAAATGGATAAATGTGATATTGCCAAGTGTAAAATGTCGATTAAAATTAAAAAAAAAAAAAAAAATTGTCGGTGTACTCTAGCAGAGGATTTGGGGAGTGTTTGGTTTGGGTCACAGGAGAGGAAAACAGATTGTAGCGTGGTGGTTGTTCTTCTAATGATTTTATCCATATTTTTCATGTCATGTGGTTTTCTTTCAATTTTTTGACTCATAAAATTATCTGTGGGTTTTGAAGGAGTAAAATTTTGCCATAGCTAGCTTTGGGATAGCGAAGCATATAGAGAAGTAACAAATCTATGTGCTTTCTCTAAATCTCTAGTATTAGAGAACGACTGAATTTAGGGATGTCATTTTGTAATATTTATCTTTTGATTTTTTAGGGACTCGAAAAGGATACCCTATAAAAGTAGTGTCTAATGAAAAATGTTATACAACCAATCTTTCGATGAAAAAGAGGACTAAAATTGTCGCAAATTGTCTGTTTAATTAGAATAATATTTTATGATTGGTGGAATTTGAAACGAATTTACATTTTATTCCAATCCATCCTGCTGGATTAAGTAATTAATCTATAGTTCGTTTACAATTTAGTTCGGGTGCACCCAAACTTACTCAACTTGAATTGTTTATAAATGAGTCTCCCTTGCCCTTATATAGGCGTATCCCCTAACAATGTACGGTGAAGATAAATTTTATCATACGATTATATATCTAGAATTCTTTATGTAGCAAGGTTGTGTGTACAATCTTTTATACATCTCCAACCACTTTCCCTATAATTTCTATTTGGAGCAATCAAGAGCAAAATGCATTTCCACGTGTCTTTTAACATTTTACAACCACCTTCAAACGTCATCCACAAAACACTGTTTGCAACATGTTCGGAAAATGTTTATAAACGGTTTAAATTATAAATAAAAAAATAAAAATTGAAGGTGGATACATTTGTACTTTGATGTATTTAATTAAAAAAGTATTTATATTTATGTAAGGCAAATCATGGATTGAAATCAAATCGAATTGCAAAAAATAATTTGATTTAATTTAGTTCAGAGAAAGCAATTGTTTAATTTGATTGAAAAAGTTTCGAACCGTTTCAAATGATTTGATTTAAAAATCTATTAAATAGATAAGATTATTGATAATGAATCTTGTCACCATGCCAACCTATTAAAACACTTCACAGAATAAAGGTAAGGGTTTGTTTTAGATTCATTTTTTGAAAGAATAAATTTTGCAATTGAGATTTTTTTGGAAAATGTGTGATTAAAAAATGGGAAAAATTTTAAGTTTATATATAAATTATTTTATTAAAAAGGAGTCAAAAAATAATTTTTTAAATAATGAAACTCGAACATGACTAAAAATTATCCTCTATCAACTCGTGGATCATGCTATAAAAAAGGTTACAAGCTCCCTCAACACAAGGCATGATATCTAATATCTAATCTTATTCATATCATACTTTTTATTATTTGTACCATATCTTAATTGCACTTAAAATCTTCGATCTTTTTTCATTGTGACGTATACGTTGTTAACTTTTTTACATACGCATTTTTATCCTCAATATGTCACTAATTATTAAATCTCATCTCCAATAACATTTTCATCCAAAAAGTCCTTAGGGAGGGTATAAAATGACTTATGTATTCATCATATTTTTACAAGAAAAATAATAAATGCAATATTGCCGTCAACTCCACTTGTATCATACCATATTATGCTATCACCATTACCACCACTAATTATAATACTCAGGGCCAGAGCCAAGATTTCTAGTCAGGCGGGGCACAACTTATCGATATTGAACGTCAAGTTTTTGTCATGAGAAGAGATACTCAATTTTACACTTCATATATGCATTTCTCCTCTAAATATTATTGATGTAAGTCGAAATGCAAAAATGAATAAAAATGATGCATTTATCCTTTCCCTTTAGTTTTCCCATCCAACTATGAGCATGTTAGGCTAAGCCTAAAATTTTTACTTATAACATGTAATTATATTGTTGTTTTAAAATAAATTAAAGTTGGAATTACGAAATTACTTATTCTGAGATTAAAGGAAGAGTTACTTTAAAAAAGGTAAATTTCCTTTTTATTAGAAGTAAAGTAAGGGTAAGTTCTCTTAACGTGTTTAGAGCCAAAAAATTTCTTAT